ACCAAGGTGCTAAATTGCTTCCTTTCTTGAGTTGGTAAGGTGAGTAGCTAAGGAACCTCTCTTTTCTTCTCAATCATGTTTAATTAGTGGCTTATGTGAGTTAAAGAGATGGTTTGATGATTATATCTTGATTTTGGTTGAATTGGTGAAGTTTTATAATTATTGGAGATCTTTCTGTTTTAATATGAACATGGTTGTGTAGTGATATATGATGATTGGAAATGATGTTTAAAGACTCTATGAGGTGGAAAAAGTGGTCAATTGCAATCAATTTCAGTTTTGGAAGAAATTTCAGAAAATTAGGGTTCTTGAGGGAGCATTCTGTCCGAATTTTTAGCTCCTAGTTAGAGGCCGAATTGGCCTTGGTTTAAAACATGAAAGTTGTAGGGAATGACATTTTAGAGGTGCCTACAAAATTTCAGGTCAATCGGAGTAGTGTAGAATGAGAAAAGTCGAAATTACTATTGCTGTCCTGGTTTTACCCGAATGCTAGAATTGCGCCTGTAATTGGTTGTTTTGGCTGGAATTGCTTCCGAATTAGTTGTTGAGGCCTTCTGATGAAATTTAGCCCTATTTCTTAGCTATCAGTTGGTTTTGGAATTTCTGGATTTGGACTTGGAGAACCTGAGTTATGATGTTTCCGCTAGAATGCGTTCTGTGAAGCTGTTTTTGTGATTCTGGTGTAGTTTCTTGTGTTTTTGACCTGGTTACACTCGAAACTGGGTTGAGTGACCTTCTGTAATATTGTAACCCTATCTCTTAGCTTTGAAACGGTGGGTCTTGCACCTTCATCCGATAATCGTAGTGCCTTTGGTACCATTACCGCAAAATGACGTCAAAACCTGTTTTTCTGGTTTTGAGTTTAACTTTCATTTCTAGACTTTTTCCTAGCTTGACTTGTACTAGTACTACTTGGAGTTTGCTGAATGGCTATTGGATGAACCTGTTGTTGTGTGTGTACCTTTGGGTTGGAATGAGGAAATCATGAAGCCATGACGGCTGGAAAAGTAAGCAAATTTAGGGGAAGTGCTGTCCGAACTTTTAAAGGATTTGTTTGCATTGAGTTTGTGATCTAAGACTTGGGTTTGAGCAAGGCAATGATACATGATGGATGATTTCTGAGCCATTGAGGTGAGTGACCTCAAACTATTTCTAAAGTTATTTATGAACCGTTTTTTTTGCTTTATTTACCTTTAAACTATTTCCAATGTTACTTTTGAACTGTTTTCTTGCATATCATGCGTGCTTGCATATGAGTGTTCCTTGTTTGCTATATCACTTGATTTATTGGCTTGTTATTATTGATTGATAATATGTTAAGTGCTTTCAATGATTGTTAAAACGAGTTTTCTAGGCGAGTGTGTACTTTATCGCACTCGATCTAAATAAATATGAAATTTTCAATGATTAATTATTAAATGCTAGTTGCGCATGAATGTAAGCCGTTTGGCTGAATTGGGCCCTGCCCTTCGTTACCGATCGACTCGAGCCAGAAGCGGACTCGGTCGGGCGATATGGTGACCCTGGGTGAATTTGGTATACTCGAGTATTACCTTGTAGTCCGGCTACGTCCGGATGGGTGGAGTCCGGCTACGTCCGGATGGGTGGAAACCGGCCAACGTCCGGAAAAAAAAACGATGAACAAATAAAAGATGAACGAGGGATTATTTATAAAAAAATGAACGTATCCTTTTCATGAATGTTACTCTCGCTTTCCATTGTACATGTTTCTTGAATTATTGATACTCCATATTTAATGTTTTGTAAATGCTGTAATCGTTATTGGACTTATCATTTGATCTATGACATCATTGATTTATGACATCATTGAAAAGAAATATTGGGTCTGTTTGGATTGTAAGTTATTTGGGATTATTTGAGATATTTTTACTGTAGCACTTTTTGTGATGTGATGTATGTGAGATAAAAAGATATTGGAAAGATAAAAAGGTGTATTGGAAATTGTAAAGATGATGTAAGCAAATAAAATTGGGGAAATATGAAGCAATCCAAACAAACCCATTGTTAAATCGATTTGATTACTGATTTTCTGGTTACTCGCTGAGCTTTTAGCTCACCCCAAAAATATTTTATTCCCCTCCACAGGGCTCAAGGCGAAGGCAGGACTTGTTGTGCTTATTCACGTGAATGGATGGCCTATATCTTGTACAGTTTTGGATTTGGAATCATTTGATGTATAGTTGGGAATTAGTTTCCGCTGCATTAGTGACATGTAATTATTGGAGACTTGGATGTATATTTGTGGATCATGTGATGTATATTTGAGCTTTATTCTTGTAATTCATTTGAGAACTTTAGTGAACGACTGAGTCCCGGCGAGAGCCGGGCAGGCGGCCCGCCGAACCCTCTGGTTCGCGTTAGGGGAAGGTGGGGCCGTCACACTTTTCGTTAAGCGAAACTCTTATATTTTGAACCCTACTTGCCTTCAAACTGTTAAACGGTATTTTATCGCTGATTTGGACTCCAACCAGGGAGTTGAACATGAGCGTGATTTTGAAAAGCAAGTGTTTTCAAGTGCATGATTGAACTTGATATTTGAAAGAAATTCTGGACTTGTTTGAATGGGCAAGGGTGTACTTTATCACACTTACTCTAATGTGATTTCTTTTTGTTTACTGGTTATTATTGACTTGATATACATGTTTACAACTTGAATACTACCTGAGATCTTGTATTTGACTTGTAAGTGTTGAGCGGTAGCATGTACCACACTCAATCCGAGTGGGAGGTGCCTCTCATCCCGTCTCACTCCTTGGATCCAGACCCTATTGGTTAGTCAGTCGAATCGAGCCAGTAAGAGATTGGTCGAGGAAACTGGCGAAACATAGGTACTACTGTCTATTGTTTATTGTATAATCCTTTGGATTAGATTCACTAGATTCGATATACTCGACTATTACCATCACTCTTATTTTGAATTTCGGGTCCGGTAGGAGGTTGATTGGTGGATGGAAATTGGTGTAAAGTAGAGATCTACGGTCATGGTTTATTTCTTCAAATGTTGACGGAGTGTTAACGGGTTCGGATCAAATAATGCAACGGAATTTTGGTTCTTGAGAGCCATCTGTATCTTACACTTTGAGATGATTATTACTTGTAGTGTTATTATTTTTTTTTAAAAACTTTACACTCGCTTATTTTGAGATTTGCTACTTGAAGTATTATTGCTCACTTTTATGAACTTTTATACTTGCTACTTTGATATTGCAAGTTTTATATAATGGTCAATTTGCTATTTGGATTTGTCTGAAGTTTTGGAACCTCATTGAGTTTTGACTCACTCTATTAGAATCTTTTGTTTTCCTTACAGGGGATACGAGCGAGAGCGTGAAGCTGATACAGGCTAGCATAGTCTATTTGTTTGAGATTTTGGCAATTGTACGCGCACTAGTGCTCGATTAGGGTTGAATGTATTTGGAACTCAAATCTTTTGTTATATTTGGGGATTGTATGAATGAATGAATGTAATTATACGTTCTAAGATTAGGAACTGTTGTTTCATTTACTCTTGAGGTTGTAACTTATTTTATCAAAGTAAGTGAGTGAGTCCTGACGAGAGTTGGGCAGGCGGTTCGCTAAATCCTAAGGTACGCCCTAGGGGGAGATGGGGTCGTCACAGTGACATTCAGGTAGGCAGTATGATAGAGATTGATGAGGTAGAGGAGCAGAAGCCAAAAATGATGAAACTTGGGGAGATTCTACAAACACGACAAGGGGTGATGGAGGCAAGCCTAGAAAAGCCTCCACAGTATAAATAAGAGTAGCGGCGTGGAACTGCCGAGATGCTGGGAACCTCTTGGTAGTTCTCCAACTCAAGGAGGTTATACGCCTCCACTCTCCAAAGTTAGTATTTTTATCAGAAACAAAAAATCAAAAAAGAGTTCTGGATGTTGTCATGAAGCAAATACGGTTTGATAATAATGTAGTAGTAGAACCAGTAGGAAGAGCTGGTGGGCTAGCCATGTTCTAGAAAAATGAGGTCAAAGTTCTAAAGGTTGATACCTCAGAATGTTCAATTGAAGTTAAAGTCTATGATGAGGAAGTAAGGGAAGAATGGTGCTGTATTGGAGTCTACACCAGTATGAATGATACAACCAGAAGAGATCAATGGGAATTTTTGGAAGAATGAATGAAGCTATGGGGGGATAAATGGATCTTGCTTGGGGATTTCAATGATATCATATCAATTGAAGAAAAATGAGGAGGAAGAACAGGACATGAGGGTAGTTTTAGGTTTTTCAGAAATTTTATACTGAGAGCTAGCTTGATAGACATACATTTTGAAGGCAATCCATGGACCTGGAGCAACTAATGGGAGAATGAGGGGAAATTAGACAAAGGTTGGATAGATGCCTGAGTAGTGCAGGGTGGTTCCAGACTTTTGGGGATGCAATTTGCAAGCTTGTGGAAAATGAAGCCTCTGATCATTCAATGCTAGTGTTTATTACTATACCAGATCAGAAGAAAATGAGAAAGAGGTTTGTTTTTGACCAAAATTGGGCTCAACACAAAGAGGTAGAAGAGGTAGTGAGGAATGCTTGGGAAAAACCACAGATGGGTTCAAGAATGTTCAAAATTATTAGAAAAATTAGAGTGCGCTAGATAGCCCTTTTAAGTTGGAATAGAATGAATAAACAAAATGCAGCAACACAGATCATTGAGATTAAGCAGAAGATACAGGAGCTCAAAGAGTCTAAGGATCAATGGAAAAAAGGAAAATGGTGGAACTGAAACTAAAGTTGAGCAGTGCTTACAAAGCTGAGGAAATCTTCTGGGCACAAAAGGCAAGGAGCAGGTGGTTAAAGGAAGAGGACAAGAATACAACCTACTTTCATGCTTGTGTGAAGACAAGAAGGAAAAGAAATAAGATAACCAGCTTGTAGAAAGAAAATGGAGAATGGTGTACGGATAACCAACAAATCATCGAGAAGATTTGTAGGTACTATGAAGACATGTACACCACATCTCAGCCATAACATATGGAAGAAGTGCTAGAAGGGGTGCCTGTATCAATTACAAGCAGGCTAAATCAGAATTTGATACAACCTGTGGAGGAAAATGAGGTTAGAGCAGTTGTGTTCTCCATGCACCCAAATAAAGCACTTGGACCCGATGGTATGATACCCTTTATTCTTTCAAAGATATTGGCATACTATTAAAATTGATGTGGTGTCTGCTATTCACTGCATTTTGAGTAATGGCCATCTTTTGAAGAGTATAAATGAGACCGGTATAACCCTCATTCCTAAGGTAGATAATCCAATATCTCTGTCCAACTATAGGCCAATCAGTCTTTGTAATGTGCTCTATAGAATCATAGCAAAAATTCTAGCCAATAGATTGAAAAGAGTTATTGCCTTGTGCATTAGCTATTCTCAGTTAGCCTTTGGGCCTGGAAGACAGATTGTGGATAATATCATTTTGGCCCATGAAATTATGCATTTTTTAAAAAGCAAAAGGAAGGGTAACACTTCTTTTATGACCCTAAAACTTGACATGTCAAAAGCTTATGATAGAGTGGAATGAAAAATTGTGGGCACAATGATGTTAAAAATGGGTTTTTGTCCTATTTTTGTAAGATGGATTATGAGCTGCATGTCATCAGTGACCTGTTCGTTTAACTTGAATGGGGAGAGGATGGGGTATGTGCAACCTAGTCGAGGTATTACACAGAGGGACCCTTTATCCCCTTTTCTCTTTTTGTTCTGTTATGAAGGATTGTCAAATCTCATGGCAAAGGCAATTGAAAATAGGCAGATCACAGGACTCAAAAAAAGTAGAAATGAACCTATTCTATTCCATTTATTCTTTGTAGATGATTCCTTATTTTGCTGTAAAGCATACCCACAGGAAGCTAGAGCCATGCAAAGGATTCTTACAAAGTACGAGTTAGTCTCAGGACAGTACATCAACTATAAGAAGTCTGCTGCTTTTTTTAGCAGAAATTGTAGCAGACAACAAAGGAGACAGACTTGTGAGCAGATGAACAACATCAAAGAGGCAAATAGTGGCAAATACTTGGGACTTCCCCTAGTGATAACAGGATCAAAAAAGCAAGTCTTCACCTACATTGTTGATAAAGGAAGATCCAAAATGCAAGAATGGAAACACAATCTACTCAGCTATGCAGGGAAAGAGGTACTTCTGAAGTCAGTCATTATGGCATTACCCACTTACACAATGTCATACTACAGGTTACCTAAAGGACTGTGTGCAGAAATATGTGGCCATATGGCAAAATTCTGGAGAGGCCAAAATGAAGAGAAAAGAAAGATGCAATGGATAAGTAAGGAGAAAATCACACAGGTGAAAGGAAATGGAGGCCTGGGATTTAGAGATCTAGAGCACTTTAATAGTGCTTTGTTAGCAAAGCAACTGTGGAGACTATTACTGTAGCCAGAGTTATTAGTGAGTAAGGTGCTGGGAGCGAAATACGAACTATCGCAAATAGACTAGGAAGGAGAAGCTTCAAGGAATACATCTTGGGTATGGCGAAGTATATATAGTTCTTGCTCGCTACTGCAAAAGGGAATATGAAAGAGAGTGGGAGATGGGACTACTATAAACATTTGGAGGGACAAATGGCTCATGGGATCATCAACTGGGAAAATAGCAACACAGAAACCTCCAGCGTGTAGACTACAAACAGTGGCTGATTTGATAAAAGAGAGAGAATGGAATAAGGAACTAATTGAAGAGACTTTCTCAGAGGAGGAAGCTTCACAAATCTTACAGATGCCCCTAAGTTTGTTTCCCAGGAAGGATATGGTCTACTGGAAATACTCAAAATCAGGAACATACACAGTGAAGTCTGGATATATAGTAGAAATGAAGGAGGTAAGCCAAAGGAGAAAGGAGAATCAAAATGAGGGAGAAACCAGCTATGCACAACATAAGCAAAAAGTGTGAAAAAGCTTGAGGGAGTTAAAGATGAAGCCAAAGATTAAACATTTCATATGGAGATGCTTACACAATGACATTCCTGTGAATGAGATGATACACAAAAGAATAGGAAAGGCTCTCTATTATGCAAATGTTGTGGTGAATGGGAGGAAACAGTGGAACATATGATCTTTTTTTTGCAGCAATGTTGAACCTATATGGAAACTAGCCCCAATACAGTGGGATGGAATTGCTCGGCAGTATGAAGCGAAGTATAGAGATCATATGTCCATCTTGGACAATGCATAAAATGAATGGCTGGAATTTCAAGAGGAGCATTTGGACAATGATGAAAAGCACAAGACATGAACAAGTTATCAAATGCAAAACCACCAATGGAGGCCAGCAGATGCAGGCATAGTGAAGATCAACACTAATGCCATTGTCTCTACTAAAGAAGCAAGAGTAGGGTTAGGAATGATAGCAAGAGACAGTTATGGAAACCTTGTTGAAGCAAGAGGTATCAGAAAGTATAGCAGCTGCGGAGCTAAAATAGAAGAGGCAGAGGCAATCCGACAGGGACTGATAATGGTTAGCGAAGCTGGGTGGCAAAGAATAGAGATGCAATCTGATTGCAAAGCTGCCATTGAGAAAATCCAAAAGAGAGGCATGGAGGAAGCGCCAATAGTCACCATACTGGAAGATATAAGACAATTGAGTGACATGTTCCAGTACTGTACTTTTTCTTTTGTTTATAGAGATGGAAATAGATATGCTCATAAAATGGCACAATTTGCAACTAAACTTGTTTCCAATGTAATATGGAAACAAAGTTTCCCTCTGTGGCTCAAAGAGAGTATACAGGAGGATAATAGGATAAATATCCACTTTTGTAACTGAGATCTTGTATTATCAAGTTCAATATATATACAAGAGAATACCGTTTGAAAAAAAAAGATAAAAGTACAACCGAAGAGGTTCCACATCTTGAATAAGAGGTAAAAAGGACTATCCTGCCAGGCGGGCCTCTACGAAAGTGGAAACCAAGTGGCTGTAAGCTTATTCACTTTCTAGAAAGAAAGACATGGTACTCTGTACTAGGTAATCTAGCAAAAAAAAAAAAACTATGGTTTAAGCATATCTGTTGGTTTCAGTGTCTACAATTTCAATTTCTTTGGGATCTGTAGCCATTTCCCGTATTAGCTACCTTTTGACTTCTTTCAATGGTGCATTACTGCAAGAAATTCAATGTTCCATTTGAGGCCATAGCAAAGAAATGGGAAACCATCCTACTGGAGGATCAAAAGATTTACAGAAGTGAAACAATTGTAGTTAATTGCTTGTGCAGGCTAAGACATGTTCCCAACGAGACAACAGAAGACAGCACTGCGAGAGACGATGTTCTGACGTTGATCATGGAGATAAATCCTATTTTTTTGTCCATGGAGTCATTAGTGGGACATAGATTGCCCCATTTTTCATCACCCGCTTCCAAAAAGCGCTGCATCATTTCTCTCTCTGTTTGACATGTTTGAGAAAACTTTAGCACATATTGATCAAGGCAGAATAATGTTTAAGAAAGAAGTTCTTGGAAGGGATGCCATGAATGTTGTAGCATGTGATGTAGGAGTGGCAATTTCTAATACGACATGAATTTAACATGAAATTAATGGGGTTTACATTGAGCCTTGGTAGGTTCGGATAGAAATTGGGTCAGACCCATTAGACCTGAAAAAAATCAGGTAGAGTCAAAGTCAATCACGGGATGATCTGGTTAATCCGTTTATGAATTAAAAATAATTTAATAAATACAAAATATTTTATCTAACTTATTAACTATTTTCTATTTTTCTTGAACAAATCCTGAAATATCCTTATACCCTAAACTTTAATTTGATCGTTTTCACTTTTCAATTTTCATAACTTTACTCTTTGTCTTCACTTGGCGCCGCATTTCACGACTCACTACTCACTAGCAGAGCTGATCAGCAAGGTAGAACTTTGAAACCCCCGAGCAAGGGTGATTATTCTAATCCTTTTCCGAGCTTAACTTCTGCCTTTTGATTTCTAAACTTGTGTTGTGTGGCTTCTCTTTGAAGTCTAAATGACCGGCGATGGGTCCTCCTACTCTTTCTTAAGTGTCAACATTGATGGACTCTAGAAGAATTCAAATTTTAGATTGATTATCGAAGAAGCTTAAATATTTATGTGCTTCTCATCTTTTTTTTTTTTCAGTGATGTTGGAGTCCCATAGATGAATTGATGAAGTCATAGCAGGCATATTTGTATTCTAATGGCTTAAGCTAAACATTCTTGATTTGCTTCACCTCATGCATTTTTTTGAAAATCATATAAAATTGGAATGGAAATTTGTTTTATTTTGATTTTTGCTAGAGATTTTGAAGAGGCTTTTTGGAATCATAAATATCCCGTAATTCATGATTGGTTATAAACATACAATGTCATTCAATATTTGCCTTCTTAATTTGTTGGGCTATACACAACCTTGTTTGATTAAGATTTGTAGAGATGGATTTGCTACTGAAGTCAAAAGTTAGAGAATCAAATGATGCCACTATCTCAATGTCTCAATGTTTAGTGGTTGTCTACCTACCCAAAGTGAGTAGTCTGATTATTGTGGTTGCAAGCATTACTCACAGGCTATTAAGCTATCAAATTATTTGTGAATGCATCATCTTTCAAATTTTTTGTTTGTATTAAGAGAAAATTTAACCTGAATTGACAATGACATGTATATTTATTTATTGGTTAACAGATGAATGAAAGTAATCCAAATGCAAATCTAGTTGAGGTTGATGATGATAGTGGTAGTGACAATAGCATTGAAGAGACAATGGAAATGAATCAGTTTCAATGTCCAGGCCCTACTTTCAAAAGGAACAAAAAGGAGAAAGCTAACTTCTAAAGTTGGGGATTACTTTACCATCTTGGCTCCAAAACCGAATGAGGAATTGAAGTGCGAATGCAACAAATGTAAGCACATCTATTCTACATAGAGTAAAAATGGGACAAGTAACCTTATTTGACAAATAAAAAAATGTCAGAAAATGACAACTAAAGATATCGGTCAATATCTTCTTACTGCTAATCAAGGTGCTTTGTCCACAAGAAATTCTAGTTTAGTCAAGAGAAATTTGAAGATTAATGATGCATGAAATCATCAGACATGAGTTGCCATTTTCATTTGTTAAATATGAGGGAATTAGAAATGTTTGTTTCAAGTTAAACATGTTACTAGGAACACTGCAAAGGTAGATATAAAAAAGTTTCATGCTAAAGAAATTGATAGGCTTTGGGCTGAATTATAGTTATGTCCTAGTTGAATTTCTTTGACTTTTAATACATGAAACTCCATAGTTATTGATGGGTACTTGAGTTTGATAGTACACTTTGTTGATAATATTTGGGTGCCGCAAAAAAAAATCTGATTTTTTTCTTATGAGCCTCCTCCTTAGAGTGGAGTTGCTCTAGTAGAAAAAATTTATAGTTTGGCTAGTGATTGGCGCATTGAAAAGAAATTGTTCACCATCGCTTTGGATAATGCTTTTGCAAATGATTCTTGTGTTCAAATACTTAAGAATCAGTTTAGGTTGAAAGGTGCTTTGATGGATGATGGCATTTTATTTCATGTGAGGTGTTGTGCTCATAGTCTAAATCTAATTGTGCAAGATGGTTTGAAAGAAATTCATGTCTCAATGGATAGAATAAGGGAATGTGTAAAATATGTGAAGAGCTCTCAAGTGAGAAAAGTAGAGTTTACTAAATATATAGCACAAACATCCCTTGATTCTAAAAAAGCCTTAGTTCAAAATGTCCAACTACATGGAGTTCCACTTTTAAGATATTCTCAAGTGTCTTTATTATTATCTTGCCTTTTGTCGCTTGCAATTAAGTGATTCCAATTTTCGATGTTGTCCATCTTTAGAAGAGTGGGAAAGAGTTGAAAAGATTTACAATTTTTTAGAAATTTTTTATGATGCAACTATTGCCTTCTCAGGATCTAAGCATCCAACTGCTAACTTGTACTTTCCTCAAATTTTTCTGAATCAATTAAAGTTGTTTGAGGAGTGTAGCAATTCTAATGGCTTTAGATGTTTGTGAAATTCAACAAATATTAATTTGAGTTCAATATTTTGTTAGCTATTGCTATGGTATTTGATCCTAGATACAAATTTCAGCTTCTTGTGTTTAGCCATCAAAAGTTATATGGTTAGGGATACACTTTGTAGTCTTTTCAATGAATAAGTTAGAGCTAGTAAGACAATTCAGCCATCATCTTCCTATTCTTGGGGTAGCAATGAGATGAATGAGATCTCTTTTGATGTAGCAGAAGCATAAGAAAAAAAAATTAGTGAATGTTTTCAAGGTGTGATGATAATATTTTTTAGTATTATTGATTATTAGTTTATATACTCCCATGTAGTTTTAAAAATGTTATGTTCTCATTTTGATGTCTGTTATATCTCTCTTTCAATGTCATGATCATAGGAATT